TTTTTTTTTGAATTATTTTTGGAATTATTTGTGTTTATACATGTGTTTATTTTAATTTTTCTTATATGCTAACTTGTTTGAGTTATGGAAAAAAAGTTGAGTCCTAGAAAGTACATGCAAAGAGAGTTGATCAAAATTTTGGAAAGTGAAAATCTCATACGAAAAAAACACCAAAGATACTTGACTATCTCTATCACACAAACTCATGAAAGTATTTACCATTTGAATCTTTTTGCCACATTTTTATTGTTTCAACTATATATACTTACCGGTTTTGCTATGGAGTCATCTATAATGATGTATTGATTATTGACACGTGCCCTGCAATGAATACACATTGGACATGTGTCAGTACGTAAAGTTATGGATGACTCCATAAGGGAGCCATCTGATGGCTCCATAAAATTTCTAATATACTTAATGCTCTGTAATTCTTGCATTCTTTTCCCTTTCATGAAGTATCACAAACACCTTTTGGAAATTTAAGAAGAAGAATTAGATTGATCAAATGACATTTTAAAAAGTCTCTCTATCTAATAGTGCTAATTAAGCCTGAGTAATATACTCGCATATTTCGAGATTATATTTCACATTTTTTTATGCTTTGTCATTTGACTTGGATGAATTTTAATTTACTTCAATCCAAATCCAAAAATGACTAGGAATGAAATATCATAAATTATTTATTGGATATTTAAGCTCCTTTTCAAGAGTATTAATTATGTTGTAATCACATTTCATCTTTTTGCCGTGGTTCATAAGGTGTATTTTTTTCTTCAATCTTTCTTTTTTCATCATCTTTTTAAATTACAAAAATAAAATTACTTACAAGTATATTTAAAGTTAATTAAATTTTTATGTATTATCATTTATATATATAGTAACAAATTAATCACGTCTTGATGAGTTTAGATTTGATTAATATTATTATAAAATTAAAATGCCTACTAATATTAATGTGAAAAATAAAATCATTAGTATTAATTTAACCACAAAATAGTTGTGTGATATACTTTTAAAAAATTATTATTATCTAAGATGGTAAGTTATATAAGTGTTGACCGTCATTTTAAATCTAAGATGGTATTTTTGACCCATTTCCCTATAAATAATAATACTATCTCCTGTTCATTATAAATGTCGTTTTGACTTTTGTAATTCATCCATTTTATTATGTATCTAGACATTAAGATGAATCAAAAAAAGTCAAGACGACATTTATAATGAATATGAGGGAGTATAGTTTTTTTAAAATGTATTTGAAAATTAAAAATATTCTTTAATTAATTTTTAATCTATATATAATTTTTTTAACAAACACCTGTATAATACACGTTCTATATTTTCCTATATATAAAAACAAAAATGTAACTATTGATACTTTTTTTAGATATAGAAGCCCAAAATGGGCATTTCACTCCGTCTATGATTGCCTTTCTACGCTTTATCCGGAAGCAACTGACGCTTTTTGCTTTAGTTGTTGGGAAAAAGCTAATAAGACGCGATTTTGCTGATATGTCTATCTACAAGCATTATTGCTCTATGGACCCGAACAATATATACTTCATTCTCAAGATTTTACGAGTCTTAAGCCTTCTTTCTTGGCTTTCATTTTCAATTATCTTATTCCGTTCTACAATATAAAACCAAAAAAATGAAAAAGTGGAAACTGAAAACATCAGTTTTATCTACATCATAGGGTTGACATTTTTTTTTTTTGATTGACCGAACCAAACCGACACAAAAAGAAACCGAACAAAACCGATTTCTTTAGTTACCGAAGTTTGGTCACCGACACCGTTCCTGTTCGATTCGATTTCAGTGTTGATTCGTGCATTTAAATTAAACGAGTCTGATTCGACTCGAGCTTGGCTCGTTAAATTTCGTGCGGCTCGAGTTCAAGGCCTTAATGGGCTCCGAACTGAGTTGAGCTTGAAAATAAAACTTTTATCTAGTAGTTCGGCTCGTTACAGCTCGAACTTAGGTCGTTAATAGTGATAAACTAGCCGAATTGGAGCTCGATTCTGGCTCGTTGATTAATGTCGTTTGCAAGCCTCTAATACGAAACCGAAGTGAAAAGTATTAGAGTTCGGATTTTTATATATTAGGCCCAAACAATATCTTAGATTACCATATACTCACTCGCACAACCCATAGATAAGAGCCCATATTTATTGTCGAAATCATTAGCAAAAATTTTACGGAGCCAACAGATGAAAACAAAACACAATAAAGCATCTGAAAATGATGTATAGGATTACGATGCACTAAAAAATTGACACCTATTAGCGTTGAGAAACTCTATATTTATATATAGAGTGATCATCAATATCATGGCCCGTGACCGGCCCGAAATAAACTATTATGAACCGGCCCACCGCCGGTTCACCGACCCGGCAGATCACGGGCCGGTACGGTCCTTAAAGGCCCGTCGACCGACCCACGGCCCGAACCGGCCCAGACCGGACCGGCGTGTCAAAAAAAAAAAATTGGGAACCGGCCGGTGGACATGTCTAACAATAGTCCATTAAGTAATAAGGCAATAATTTGTCTTTAAAGTGTCCGGAGTAAAACAAATAAAATAGTCAGAATCCAACAACATATTGGAGTGATGACTGATGACATATCTAAAACTCACCAAACTATTAATCATTAATCTTATACTAAAATATCAAATAAAATCGAACAAAACCAACCTTTTGACAACCATTGCACACTTAATATTAACTCAATTGACAAAGGGAATATAATAAAAGTTTTTCAGTATATTCATCTAATTGAGGTAGAAGCAAGGTCAGAAGATGGACCAAAAATAAAGAACTAAGCAATAAACAACATATTTATAGCCCATGCATGCAGTTCAGAATGGTCACTTTAGCTGGACAAAAAAAAAGATCGATTAAAAGAAATTTGGTTAACTTTATCAAAATACTAATCCATCTTTGTGTTCTTAATGACATGGCAGATGATAATCTAGGCGAAGAACATGTCACGTATTCCGAGAAAGACAATATTTCTATAAGTACAAGTGACGATAATGTCTCGTCACTATATACGGCATGGAGCCATTTACTCCATGAATCAAGAGACAAAGAGGGCCCACATCACCCTCGAAAAATCATATCGAGCGAGTCGAGCAATGTACCCAAAGCCCCTCACTTGGAAGATTGCAAGACGAGCATACACATGAACCGGAATCTCGACATGCGGATCCCAAACAGGACTTATCCTCCATGGACACTTTGGAAAGGCACATTGGATAGTGTTCGGAAATCAGCAAACGACGAGCGGCTAGATCAGTTCACGGATCGTGTAGTGTCCGAAGGAGCTTATCCTCCTTGGGTACGAACAAACAACTAAAATATCCAGTCTAAACAAAAATTACTGATCAAAAAAAAAAAATTATAATAAAAAATGGGTAATTTCTTTTGTTAGGTCATAGGATCGGATGAGGAGAATTATCCCCTGACGAGGAAAGTGCAAAGGGATTTATGGCTTCATCAGCATCCTGCAAACTGTAACGATCCAAGCGTGAAGTTTTTAGTGGCGGACTGGGAAAAATTGCCCGGATTTGGTATTGGAGCACAGCTGGCCGGAATGTGTGGTTTACTTGCTATTGCAATCAACGAGAAGAGGGTTTTAGTTACCGGTTACTATAACAGAGCCGATCATGACGGTTGCAAAGGTAGTTTATTAGTGTCACTGCCAATATTAACTAAATTAGAAATAAGATGGTTTGTTTTGTTCAAAGTATTTGAATTGCATTTTCTGAGTTTTTTTTGTTTTTTTTGTTTTTTTTTGGGTCTTTCTCTGTCTGTCTCTCTAGGGTCATCACGTTCGAGTTGGTCCTGTTACTTTTTTCCAGAGACCTCACTGGAGTGCAAAAAACGAGCCTACGAGCTTATGCACGAGAAGGCAGCATGGCAGACAGGTGTTATTACGAGAAAAGAGAACTACACTTCAAAAGACATATGGTCCGGGAGGATACCTAGGTAAGATTAACGTTGTTCGTGTGACTGATAAAATCTGTCTTAGAAATGCTAATATGCTGTGACAAAATTTAGTGACAAATTTTCAGGGTATGGGGCAGGCCTTGGAGTATTATGCAACCGACCACCGAGATTAATGGGACCTTGATTGTTCGTCATCGGAAAATGGATCGTAGATGGTGGCGAGCTCAGGTGAATCGTGACAGTATTGATCAAGATTCGACTTTTTTATTTAAAAAAAAAATGGACAAAAAGGAGTGAAAATGAATCTTTATCCTCTGCTTTAGGCTATACGGTACCTGATGAGGTTTCAGACCGAGTACACGTGTGACATTATGAATAAGGCCCGCCACAGTGCCTTTGGACGTGAAGCTGCGAAAATGGTACTCGAGTCGTCCTCCGAGGTTCGGTTTTTCCATTTTCTTAGCATTTAATTTGAATTTTGGCTTATGTGACAAAAAATTATGTTATTATTGTTTGATAGTGTTGTATCTATTTTATTTGCAGAATCTGAGAAGAAAGGAGCATGATGATATGGAAAAATTCGTGTGGTCTAATCACAAGCCGTGGGTCCCACGGCCGCTGTTGAGCATTCACGTCAGAATGGGAGATAAGGCTTGCGAGATGACCGTTTTCGGATTTGAAGACTACATGCGTTTGGCGAACAAAGCCCGTATGCGTTTCCCGCACCTCAAGAATGTGTGGCTTTCTACTGAAATGCAGGTCGCGTAAAATTCGTAACTTTTTGAACCCAAGATAAAAAAAATTGGATCTAACTCATTGAAGTTCATCACAGGATGTGATTGATAAATCAAAATCCTACGGGCAGTACTGGAAATTTTACTACACGAATGTGACTCGGCAAACGGGGAACATGTTGATGGCAGCTTACGAATCGAGCCTGGGTCGAGAGACTAGCAGTAATTATCCTCTTGTGAACTTCTTGATGGCGGTAGAGGCTGATTTCTTCATAGGGGCATTGGGTTCCACGTGGTGCTTTTTGATAGATGGAATGAGAAGCACGGGTGGGAAAGTCATGTCCGGTTACTTGAGCGTGAACAAAGACAGGTTTTGGTAGACATCTATGGATATATCGAAATAGTCGAGCAAATAGATGAAGAACACATGTATATTTTGATGATCTCAGATGAAGATAATCATTAATTAACATACAGAGGTTTGTAAGTTACTATGTTAAGTTCTTATGAAGGGTGAATTGTTGGTTCTATAAACCAGCTCGTATAGATATTCCAACTGGTTTTGATTCATACAGAATCCAAATGTGAACCAACTCGGGTTTTGGTCATGTCTACTTGAAATCTCACTTCTTCAATATCGTGTTCATTGATGTTTCAGGCTAATAAATTAGGAACAGATCAATTTCTTTTTTCACACCATGTGATGTAGTGATGTTTCAGATAAATAAATGAGGAATCAATAAATAAGTGAGTTGTTTAAATTCACCCACAACTACCAATTGTGCGACCCGGATCGACCAACGGATTAGTCGGAGCATAGCTCCGAATACCGGCTGGCTATCAAAAAAAAAAAAAGGAAACATTACATTCAATAACAAGAAACATTACATTCAATTACCACCTAAAGTGGTCTTTTTGTTCACTAACCTGATATTCAATGAAAGGAGATGCTACAGTCCCGTTACAGAATTATTCTGTCGGGGTTTGTAACCGTTAGATCAACTATCTTATACTAACTACATGATGATCTAGCGGTTACAAACCCCGACAGAATGGTTCCGTAACGAAATCATAGCATTTCCTATCAATTAATATTAATATAATAAGCTGCATTACTTCCCTTCTGAACATTATTTTACAATTAAAAAGCTGACCGGCCATGAAAACTACTGTCCAACCTCCTAATCCATTTAGATTGTGGCTTGATATAAAAAAATTGTCTGCCACATGGCCAAGTTGCAAGTGAACTCTAGTTTGAACTAGTATTTGGAAAACTTCAATTGTCCAACCATGAGAGAGTAGGAAGACTTACCAAGCGAGAGGTACAAGCGGTCGCATGCATGTGGATGCATCTATTTTTGGAAGACATACCATATTGTGCTGAGATGAAAAGGTTTCCACGCTCAACTAGAAACACACACTCGAGTACCCAAGAGTGCTTGGATGAGATGATTTGGGTCTCTTCCAGCTTAACCAGTGGTCTCGTGTTCGAGCCCTGAGAATGCAGCAGTATTAAAAACTCTTGAGGGAGAGCTTTGCCGCCCTTGTGGTCCTACCCGGCTCGATTTTGGATTAGTCAGTTCCCTTGTGGATCCGAAAACCGGAAGGTCCATGTACCAAAAAAAAAAAGAAACACACACTCGAGTGATAATTAATTGTTTTTGGGAGTGAAGTTGGAAAAACCACTCGAGAAACTCATTATTATTTTATTTTCTTTTTATTGAGGTGAGACGAGAGTCTGTTCTCGATCTCACAGTTGAGCATATACTTATTACATCCGAGTGTTAGTGTTAGGGAGGAACACTAAAAGACAATACAAGGGATTCGTGTTGAGAAAATCCACAAGGGATTTGTGGTGGGGAAAGTAGTTGTATAGGTGATTACATTGTCGCTTCAGAAGAAGATTTTTTTTTTTTTTTTTTTTT